AAGACAACGGTTTGATTAACAGAACGTATCTTGCCATTGTATCAACCTTGTTTCTTTGGATCTTCATATCACCTCGTATGTATTCTTTGTAAATATAATATACTTTTGAATAGAGCATCTTGCCCTATTTTTCCCGAAAAAGAACTGTTTTATTAACAAAATGTCTGTACACTAAATCTTGCATCAAATAATTAGCAGCAATAATTATCCTGTGTCATGAAATCTAGTCGCCGCACCATAAAATACCCTGAAAGAGAAGCATCTGCTTGGTGTTGATCGGATAAATGATTATGCTGGAAGTTTTCATTCCTGATCTGTAGCTTTTTGAGAATACCTGCAAGAGACATGCCCATAATACACTAAGATTCAAAACCGCATTTAGTAAGGTTGCTCTTATTAAGAATAAAGTGAGAAAGAACTGGTTTGATCATCAGTTAAATAGTGTGAGCCTAAGTGGAAGCAATTAAAAGGGATATGATAATAATTCACTTAACGAAGGAGATAACCCGTAGCGGAACTAAATATTGAAGAATTGGATTCATGCATTCGACCCTTAAAATTTTAGGATAAAGGATTTATTGTTGTTTACTATGGCAGACTAAGGTTCTATCAGAAAAACCTATAGCATAACAAAGGTTCTGTCAGAAAAACCTATAGCATAACAATGACAACAACAAAGCCACTATCCTAGACCTTTCGGAGTCAGGTATGTGAATCTCTTTTCTCCATTCAGATGTATTTCAGCCTTAAGACACATCCTTTATCTCCTCACCCTGAAAGATAATTCAAACTACCTACAGTAGGGACTTCTCTATTCATTAGTGCATGCTATGCCTTACTGTTGTTGGTCTCAACGAGAAACTAAAAAAGATAACTGGATTTTGTTTCATCAGTAGATGTTCATCAGTGATTTTTTAAAGTGGTTATGATATATAAGGATTTCTCATTTGAAAAAGAGGTAAAACATTTGGGTTTTTTTCATATTACACCCTCAAATCTTTGTTACTTGTACAGTAGATTCTCAAATATTCATATTCCTAAATTAGACCCCCTGAATCTTTACATAGGTTCGAATTTAGGGTCTTATTTAAAACAATTTAATCGATTTGAGGGTCTTATTTAAACAACATAATAGATTTGGGGGTCTAATTTAAAACAACTAAATGAATTTGGGGGTGATTTAAAAAATACGAAGATTTGGGAGTCTAATTTAAAACAACTAAATGAATTTGGGGGTGATTTAAAAAATACGAAGATTTGGGGCTCTAATATAGAATTAACAAAGACTTGGGTCTAATATAACAAAAAACCAAGACATTCTTGATTACTAATTTATTCAAGAGCATTATGGTGTCTTTATCCAAAACTTCACATGCATTTATTATTCAATTAAACTAAAGATCTTACTGCAATATGGCCTGATACTGCTGTTGCAAATGTAGCTGACTTCGTAGATAACTTGCCTTTCCCGGCTTCTGCCATCCTAGTCTCTCTAAAAACTCTTCAATCAATCTATACACATCATTAAAAATGATATCAGACCCTTATTATTTGGAAAAAAAAGAAGGGTTAATTGCAAGTATACACCCAGTAGCATTGCCCAATTTTGGTAGACCCCCTATAGTCGTACAATCATTGCTGATAGACCCTAGTTCTATCACCCTATTGAAGATAGACCCCCAGTTGTGAAATTCTTTTGACTATTAACCCTCAAAATGTCTATTTGTTGAAAATCAATTTTCTCATTCTCTGAGGGTAAAAGAGTCAGTTTCACTCAGGCGATCTATCTGCAACAACATAGCTACAGGGTCTATCCGCAATTGCGCGATAGTAAAGGGGTCTATCCACAACTAACCCAAAAAAGGTCACAAAAGGTTAAATTAGCAGACACTCACAAGCTGCAGGCTGCTTTCTGAGAGGAAGCCAACTCACGGTCCGGGAAAGATTCTTCCAGTCTGAAGCTCAACCATATATAGAGATCCAGCACCTTATTTATGACAATGTGAGGAGAACGATGAAATTTCATGAATAATGCTGGCAAAATTGATTAGCAAAAATAATTTTAGTTAAAACGACAGAGATCTACATTTTTTAAAGAAAATTATATCAAATGTACCAACTTATTTTTCTTTACTTACATTATATAGATTTGAATATAATAAGAATCAAATTTGAGTTTCTATAATTTCAAGAAGTAAAGAGCGTTAAGGTTGTGTACGTCCAATTTCAAGTGTTATACCCAGAGATGTAAACCACATAATTTCAGGAAATTTTAAGGTTCCCTCTACCAACCCAAGACATTTTCTTTGAAGATAGATTTCTTTATTTTAAATACTGATAAAACATAAACACTCTGATTTGGTTGCTTCTCAGGAGGATTCTTAAATCAATTCTTTTTGGTGAAAGATAGCACTCCAAAAGGTGTCATTTATACCATTGCATTTAGACGAGATGTTACCTACTCTAGTGGTTTTTCATTTGTCAACAGTTGGAATCTCTTAGATGTACTCCAGAAAGTCCCCTACTTAAACAGATTTAGACCCAGAATGATTACCTTGTGAATAGATTCAAGCTCTTCAAGTGCACTTTGTGATTTAGGAACTTGAAGAGATCCAGGTGTAAATATTTCTCTAAGACGAACCAGGCCCGTCTTTGCATAGTTTCCTGCAAACTAATCACTCTCATATTTCAGACATCTCAACTTCGATTCATCAAATCAGCAAACAAGTACAACATGAGGAAACCAAACGAAATCTATTACCTGCACCAGAGCCTGAGCAGAAATATCATCAGTCATATCAACAGGACTGCAAAAATAGAATCAGAACTTGGTCCTACAAAAAAATCTTCACAATAAATATGAGGCATATTAGATAAGGAAAAGAGGGTTACCTTATACAGAAAAGGTACTTATCATGCAAGCCAAGAGGGAAGTCATCAACAACAGCTGCAACCTTCTGTTGTCAACAAAGAAACATTTTTTTATCAATATATGCTGTGAATTAATATATTTCCTTAAACCAAGGCATTGAAAGAAAGAGGCAAAACCTACAGTCAAACAATACTTTTCTTTAAACTTTGGTAAAACAAGTGAGGATGATCTAATCCTTCAAGTTTTAATACGTTAACCTTATGCTCACACATTGGTCTCACTGGTCACTGCTATCTTATTGTGCATTCTTTATCTATGAAAGATTTATAGGCAAATGTAGCTTCATTAGGTACCTCAAGCTTACCCTGTAAGCATCTTTATCCTTCAAAGTTCAAACAGGGAAACCAATTCCATTCTTGATAATGAACATTTTACTCCTCTAGACTCATCTATTATAAGTTACCATTGATCTAAAATCATCATTAATCTGTACGATCAAAATTATATAAGCAAAACTGGACCATCATTATGGAAATCTATAACCTTATCCACTATTATTCTACTTTAGAAATCCTCCGGGGTAAATTAGCAGCCAGCTCAAGTTGAAAAATGCCAAGATATGTTAGCATTTCTCCCTACACAAAGAATACTTACCATCATTGTGCCTTACTTTTCCTCTATGTTACCCGCTTTCCCGTACCCAAACTTCATGGACACTTCTTGAATATATGCATGCATTTATTACAACATGTACTCAATTATACGATATATGTGTTAATTTAAAACACTTGTCAAAGACTTCCTGGACGTAGAGCTTACACTTCACATCCGTCTTTTGAAACTAATAGGATACGGGTCGGGTTCGTTTCAGTCCATACCCAAGTTTAAAAATATATAGTTAATGGGTCATTTAGATGTCTAGTAAAAAAATGAGTAGTTTTCAATTCACGATAATCAATATGATACAATAAACTCAAAAATGTGATCGAAATTTTAATTCTAATGACACATGAAGCGGAAAAAAAAATTCTCATGTACATTATTAATTCAATATATATATATATATATAGCCGTGTCCCCGTACCCTACAATTTACAGTTTTGCCGTGTCCCCTACCCGTACCCACACCCGTACCAGTACTCGTGCCCGTTTCCATGCAACTTAGCTTTTCCTAAAGACTATGCATAAGACAAAGCGTACTTTTCATAATAAGATTATAATAAATACTTTCTTAAGGTTCTAGACAGATTTTAATTTCATGATGGAAATAAAGAACATATAATTTATAAATAAAAGAGCACTCTCTGTATCCAATCCTAACATATTTGTTAAACATACATCACATACTATCCAAGTAGAGATTTATTTTTATTAGACTACACTTGACATTGATCGTTTTCAGAAAAGTTCAATCTTCAAGAAGTATATTAGTCAAGCAGTCAAGCTTAACAAAACCATAATATTTCTGGATGTAATATTCTATACCAAAGTTTATTTTTTAATTTATATGAAAAATCATGATATAAGAAGTTTTCATGTTTATATCATGGTTCAGTCTGTTACTAATCAGAGTTTTCCATATATTGCTCATATGTACAACACTATCATTTATATTTTTTAAGAATTCTAGTTATTAAGCAACAGACATGTCTCCTGATGTAGATTACATATTAGACAGATTATCTAAATCTATCTTACCTCGGTACATCTAATCTGAAGCTTCACCCACCTGACATTTACCTGTACTTGTACCACCCAAACTTCCGGACACTCCTTGGATATATGCATACATTTATTCTGGCATGTGCTCAATTATACAATACATGTTTTAATTTAAAACACTTGTCATACATTTTTTGGATACATATCCAACACTTCACATTCATTTCTTGAAACTCGTTGGACATCAGGTTCCAAATTATGATTTTGAAGGGTTGTTTGGATGTCCAGTTTAAAAACTAGTGATTTTCCAAGTTATAATCCACATACTAAAAGAAACATGAAGATGTTATAGGAAATTTAAATCGCATCCTTCTTTTCATATAAATTATTAACTCCAATATATAATATATGTGTATATAAATATACATCTAGCCATGTCCCCATACCCTATCTTTTACAAATTTTTCGTGTTTTGTAACCGTACTGGTACCTGTGCAATATAGATGTAAAAAATTGTCAAGTTAATAATTTGTGTTCTTTTTTTAAAGATATAAATTATTTTTAAAATTTTATTGAATAAAAATATTTAAAATTTTAACAAATTAATTTATCAAATATTTATTATTTTTAAAATTCATTACCAAGCATACCTTTATAACAGTCAGCTATATCCAAGTCTTCCTTTAAATAGGGTTTGTCTTCTAAGACTAAATATTATTCCCATAAGAATTATAATTAACATTTCCTAATCTAGTTATTCACCAGAAATACTTATAACAAGTGAAAGAAGTTCATTATCCACCGAAAAGATTGACACTAAAAATTAATACGAGTTTGCAATAAAAACTATGGACAACATGATTAACTCCCCCTTAAAGTATGATTGAACTCCTAACTTATCCCCAAAGTATCAATTTGCATATTTTCCTTCTTATACAATGTCTGCTAGCGCAATGTGGTCCTTTTGTGAAGTTATCATCAAATACTTAACGAATGATGACATGACATATCAATTTTTTGGGTTTTTTAATGAAATTACAAACTCCAAAAAAACAAAAATCACAAATGACACCCTTAAAATTTTGAAATTACAAAATACACCCAGAAAATTATAACAACCCTTGAAAATCAGATATTTACAAACCTTGAGAATTCCAAAATTTACAAAAAAAACACCTTACAAAAAATTTGAAGTTCGAAAAAACACCCCAAAAATTTTTAAAAATTACAAACAAGCCCTTTAGAATCTAAAAACTGCAAAAGAGCATGAAAAATTCAACACTTAAAAAAACAGTTGGATAACTTTTGGAAATTGCATAAGACACCTTAAAAATTCAAAATTAGTAACAATCCCAATTTTAGATCTGTTTGTAATTATGGATTTTAAAGGGTATTTTTTGTAATTTCTTGAAAGTTTTAGGGTACTTTCTGCAAATTTTAAAATTTTCATGGTCCATTTGTAATTTTCATATTTTTAGAGGGTTGTTTGTTAACTTCTTAGTTCAAGGTGTTTTTTTGTAATTTCAAGTTTTCTTGAAAATTTTGTATTTTTCAGTAGTCGTTTGTAATTTCAAATATCCATGGGGTTATATAAATTTTGAAAGTTTCAACGTGTTTTTTGTAATTTTTTATTTTTTAAGGTTGTTTTTTGTAAATTTTAAATTTTTTGGGGGTTAATTGAAATTTTTGAAATTTCTGTTAAGTATTTGATGGTCGCTCCACAAAAGGACTGTATTGGGCAAGAAAACATAGTAAGGGGAAAATAGACAAGTTGATACTTTATGAGGCAAGTTGGGACTCCAACAATACTTTAAAGGGTATTTGTCATTTTGTCCAAAAACTATATCAATTTGATTTTTCTAATCATCAATCTGATTTCACCAATGTGCACTTCGTGTGCAAATATTTGTACACTCGGAACATCATTTGTAGAGCTGATTTTTTAAGTAATCACGTATACATACCTGTTGCATGCTAGACCAAAAGTATCCATTGTGAGAAACAGTGTTTTTAAAGGCGCATCTGGGCGTGTGCCTCAGGTGTTGGGCGCTTCGGCACAGTGGCATAGCGCCCCACAACAGGTGCGGGGCGCTACGCTTGCGTTGGGTGCTCGCCCGGAGAGCGCCTTGCGCGCTCGTAGAGGCGATCGCCTCAGTTAAATGCTTGCATTTTGATTTTTTTTTTTTTAAGTTAGTCCAGCAGGTTATCGGGTACAAACCCGTTTCCCACATAAACCCAAATACTTATAACTCCACCCAAGGCAAAATCTGGATATTATGGCTTGCTGTAGCTTTCGATCTCCCCCTTTTTCTCTTTGGTCTCACTGCAGCGCCTCCTTCGTTCACAAGTCAGCAGTGGCAATCGACGGAATCGGCGATGGCGAGCGCAATCAACAGAATCAGCGACGACGAGTGGCAATCAACATTGAGGTACGTTCTTCCAATTCTCTTAGTTTTCCCTTTTTCCCTCAACTATGTTTTTGCTTTCCTTTTTTCTCTTTTTTCCTTTCTCAGTTCTCCTGAAAGATTCCACACTCAAGTCATGAGATGAAATCGTGAAAATTGGTAAACAGTGAACAGTAAAGTATTTTGAACAGTAAACTATTGGATATTTTGAGTACTTTCTGAAGCAATCTGCATCTAGAGTTGCTAAAAAACTTTGTGCTCAAAAGTACCTGGATTCATTTTATTTTAATGAAAATGTATGTGTTATTAATGTGGAGAAGCAACTTAATACTTGGTGTAGATAATCACACTTGCTAACTAACATATAAAGAGAGAGTAAGGGACTATTTGTTTGCTAAAAAAACGAGAAAACCCCCCACCACGTCAGATTTCAAGAAATCCCCTCTGCCACGTAGGATTTTGGTTTCAACCGATTTTCAAATCACATGTTTGTTTTGTTTTGTGATTTAAAAAATGAAGGTGTCACGTAAGATGCCACGTAAGATTTTTGAGAAAAGTGTTTTCACACCAAAAACCTCTAAAAACACTTGGAAATGTCACTTCAATGAAATTTTAATTACTAAAAACACTGTTGAAACAGTGACTGTGAATAAAACAGATTATTTAATTGCTGAAAACATTGTTACTATTGCGGCTGGATTTGTTTCTTATGTGACGTGACGGTGACGTGACGGTGATTTCATTGCGAAATAAACAAAAAAATGTCGAAAATGTCTTGAAATCTCTTGAAATGAGTTGAAATGTGAGTTTTCCATTTCCGGTTTTTTCGAAAAACAACCAAACATACCCTAAGTGGAAACTAACATATAAAGAGAGATTAAGTGGACTTTTGTCTCGACTGGTAACTGTTGTTTTGTTTTTTTTTTTTGCTCGCTCTTGACTGTTAACTATGTTTTCTTTGGCAATATAATTGTTAGTGATGCAATACAATAAATACACTAGTATGAAAGTTTGAATA